AGCCAGTCTTCATATCGGCTGGAGGGACCGGCTCGATTGCGTCCTTCGCCAGTAGGACTGCAATCTATTCCTAGTGAAGGCAGGGGACGCCGGGTGAACTGAATCGCATAGCCGAGTCTGATGGTACGGATGAGCCAGCGAGACGGGCTGGGAAGCGCAAGCCAGGGTCCCAGACACCGTACAAGCGGGACCAACGGCACGACAGACGTACCCGAGGTGGGGCAGCGCGGCGGAATGCAGGGACCCGACTCGGACGGCATAGCGGCCCAAAGTGGGGTCTGAGTGTGCAACACTAACCTGACTCCACCGATCGGTAGGGGATGAGTGAGACGGCATAGGTGCGGCCTCGAGCACATCAGGCTACCGCTGGCGAAGCAAGAGAGGGTGGCAAGGCATAACGTCACACACCGCCAACCTCGCTCTCTTGGGACCCAGAGATAGAGAAGCTGCTTTTGCTGAGAATTTGGTATCGCTGGCTGGACGCCAGTGGCGGAACAGAATGATTCAACAAAAGTTCTCCACCCGGCCCTCCTCCGGGGAAGAGCAGCTGACTCTGGGTCGCCCGTCTCAGGGCTGCAAAGCTCAACGTCACAGTAGAGCTGGCTGTGGCGGAGTTTTTTTGTTTTGTTTTGTTTTTCGCAGGGGACTGACACCCTTGGCGACAAACAGACTGAGGGGCAGCCCACCAGTGACTCAGGGAGCACATTGTGGCAAGCTTTTTGGTTACCTCAGCCTGAATTTGAACTGCGGAGAACCGCTGGGCACAGTCTCCAACAGTGTCGCCGAAAGGCCACCTCATGAGATGGGAGCATCGAGAAAGCAAACTATGGCAATGTCTCATACCACTGCAAGGTTTAGCCAGGGGGCGCTTCTGGACCACTAGGGTGGACATCATCTGGCCGAGGGCCAGCGCTGTGACTTAAAACACAGTCAGTCACCAGGCGCAGCTCAACCCTGACTCAGAACTACCCTGCAGGGAAAAGGCGGTCTGCAGTAGCACTGCCGCCCCATCATTGAGGGTAGTGAGAGAGGAAAAACTTTCTGCAGCTTTTGGCACGTTTGGCTTGCCATATTGGCATCAAAATGCTTCCATAGTGCAAAAAGTTTTTCACACACATCCAGGAAGGCACAGGTGCGGGGCAAGGCGATTACGCGTCGCACTGCGCCCCCAGTGTAACCCGGGAAAGCATGGCTGTCAAGTCTGAATCTGATTCACCATGAGCATGCACACCATTATAGTGGAGCTCAGCATCATCTTCATTTCCAGAGCGTGACAACCCTCTCTCTGATGTAGCAATCGACGTCTATCCTCTCCTGGAGCCCCAAATGAAATGCTAGGTCCATCATGAGAATGACCAGCATCCCATCCAGAAGCTGCCAGGCATGCGAGACAGTCTGAACGGCACACAGCTGGCTGATAGCTTAACCTTAATGAAAAAGGCAAGACGAACAATGTGCTGACGTGATTATGTTCTCATAAGAGAATACAACCACCTACAAACTAGGGCTGGGGTAAACGATTATTAATTAAACGATTAGTCTGTCGATTATTTTATCGATTAGTCGACTAATCTAACGACTAATTGAACGATTCTTTTTTGTAACATGGAAATTGCAGGAGTGCACATTCAATGCACAACAATTTTGATCTGGTTCTTACAGAGTATCTACACTGTAAAATGTTTGGTAGGCTACTCAAATGAGCCCTATCACACTTGGATGTGGTGCTCATTTTAATGTTTTCAGTGCTCATAAAAAACATCCTGACTGATTTTTCGGTTTTGTTGACGGGGGTGGGGTTTACATGCGCTTCATAAGGCACACACGCACATTTGCACACACACGCGCAAGGTCTCTCGCTCTCTCCCTCGCTGCGCGCGCTACACGGTTTGGAGCTCGCGAGCTCTAGATTCCGGGAGATTTTAACTAATTTGCGGTCATCAGGGAGCCGCTATCACTATGCGGGAGACTTGGGATGTCAACTCCATTTGACAAAGAGCGCAAATAACGACACCTTTACGTTTGGGACTAAATTTGAAGTATTCCCATACCTTCGATGATTTAGTGCGAGCTGGGTTTTTTTAGGACTTTTTCTTTTGTTGGGACTTTTGCATGGCTTTGTTGTGAATTCTGTGAAGAGGTTGCTGTTTCGTCCTCGATTCTGCAATGTTTCGGTCTCCCACGTGTGTGTGGCGAGCTGTACCGCCGGGAACGGTGCAAAAAAATAAATACATAAATAAATAAAGAAGCGTCGACAAAAAAATATGACGTCGACGAATTTTTGACGTCGAAGCGTCGACGTCATCGACGCGCCGCTACAGGCCTACTACAAACAGAGTCTCACATGTATGCGATGCGATAGAGGAGTGAGGGGCCCACACGGATTGGTTACCGGGCGGGGAAGCCCTCACTATAATCCTCCGGTCACCCTGGCTATACGCAGAAGAAGCCCTTTTCTGAAGCACCAGGAAAAGAACTAGATCAGGGCATAGGCGAGGGGACTCCACCTCGTTTGAGGCACTTGAGTCTCGACTGGACATCTAGATCGCCGAACGACGCACGCTGGGTTGCCGTGACAACCCGCTCTGTCAGCTGGCAGCTCGACGGCACACGGCACGCTGATCAATTAAACCTTAATAAGAAAGGCAAGACGAACAACGTGCCGACGTGGTCATGCTCTCAGAGAGAACATAAACCACCCACGAGCACAGTTTCAGCACACTTAAGCCTAGGCATGTGAAACAGTGATCGTGGCCGTCACATGAGGATAGGAAACGACCGTATCCAGAAACACACGGTTTGAAGGACACTGTCTGCACTGTAACACCAACACCAGCTTTGAAGAGGCGTTCCCCTGAAGAGCAGACTCGTTTTCTTCTTTGAAGTTGAAGACTGTCAGAAGATTGTAGAGCAGGAACAGTAGAACCGCTCGGCTCCGAAGCGAAAGACAATATCCGACACACCTGCTGCTCGTTATATGCTGGCGCTGCAAGGAGAGCAGCTGATGCAATTATCGCATGCCAATATGCATTGGCTCGTTTTAATACTCTCGAATTAGATTGGCCTCTCAAGGCGATCCCAATTACGTCGTCACGTCGACGTTACGTCGAACGTGAGCGACTGAAAGGGAACTTTTTGCTATTTATTACTACACGTTTTAATGCTGCATATAAATGATTCAATATCATTCTTTGTGTTCCTTAATGAAAAACAGTGAAAAATCTGCCTAGAATATATTTTTGAAAAAAAAAAATGTAATTACTGTATTCTCTTTGTTGATATGGTTTCTCTAACTGAAAAAAATTAATTTTAAGTCATTTCAGAGCAAATACATAAATAATAAGATATACTGCTATTGCATGTCATCAAATATCTGAAAAATATTACGATGTTTTTATATTGCCCAAGTGTAAAAATTGCAAGTGTTTGTTAATAAGGATGGGGAGAGCAAAAACAGATACAGAGAGATACAGAGTGTAAGAAAGACAGATAAGCGCTGAGATTTTGATTTGGTTTCCCATTTTGTATCCATGCATAACCAAGAACCGAAAACAAACAGAAGTAGAGCAGTTCAGTGTGTGTGAGAGTGTGGTGAGCTTTAATTAGAGATGTCAAAGTGGTGGCTAACCTCCATGAGATCCCGCTTTCATAATAATGCATCTCTCTCTCATTCAGGAGGCTGCCGCACTCATGACCTTAAAGAAATGGTGTGTGTGTGTGTGTGTGTGTGTGTGTTTGAGTACATGAATTGAACCTGACCACAGTAATTGACCCTTTGGCTAAACCCTGCGCTCCTTGTTTACTGTTGTACGCTGCAGGCAAGCTTTACAAAACTACCCATAAGAATCAAGTGAATATTTCAGTGAACACTAGCGTGGTTTTCAGTAAAATACGCTCATAAAGCATTTGGGCTGGAATGAAGTGTGACATTGCAAAGCAATTTTTATCTACTTCTAATATGTTTACATCAGATTTCAAAAATGAAAACTATGCCATCATTTACTCATCCTAATCCATAAGACTTTTGAATATTCTCTCATCATTTTTGTCCCTCAATTGAAAGTATATAATACACATATCAAAAAGTACAAAAAGACATAAAAAGTAATTATGTGAATTGAGCAGTTTAATCGAATTCGGCATGCTGAAAAGACATTACTCAGGCTATTAGTCATATAAAAACATTGATCAATGCACATGCATAGAGCTTATGCGATATATGCATAATTTCTCACATAATTTCTATTTCTCACACAAAGCAACTGAATGGCTTCAGAAGACTAAGTTGGAACACACCAAATGTTGACTATTTTCATGGCAGGCCTACTTTTATAGTGCTTTTTTTGTCTTTTTTTGAGGTTGGAATTAATAAATCAACACCACTTTCCTTCTATAGAAAAGATCAGCTCTGGTATTTTGCTTAACAATTTGTGCTAACAAAGAAAATAATGACATATGGATGATGGTGATGACAGTTTTAATTGTGCGTCAACTATTCCTTTCAAAACAATAATGCAATTCACAATCTATAAAATAAAACCTTTCAAAGGAAAATTGTTCCCGCTATTGTTCCCTCGAATGTGTGTTACGGAATACTATTGCAGCAACTGACAATTCAGAGGGGACAGACTCCGTCTTCACAGAACTGCAGCCAGATTACACACACACACACACACACACACACACACACACACACACACACAAAACAACAGAATGAAATCTTTTCCACCCCTAACTTCACTCAAAGAAATGAATTCTGCAGCAACCTAGAACAGACAGAGTTTGGCGTCTGGACACAACAGCTATAATCATCACATACACACACACATACACACACACACTCAAATCCAGTTTTTACAAGGAGTTAAAAAAAAAGGAATGTGAGGGAAAACTGAAGAATTCTAGGCATGTCATTTTCAGTCTTTAATTACCCATCTGAGAAAAACACATCACACCCCTTTCTCTTACACGCACACACACACACACACACACACACACACCTGTATCTCTGCAGGAAGAGGTGCTTCTCACATTCAGTAGAGGATCTTATCTGCAAAACAGAGAAAAAGACAGTTTGAGAATTCACATTAAGTCAATAGAAATAATATTAGACAGAAATGCCAAAATGCACAACACAAACTCTGACTGACAGTTTTAGCAGCTGAAAATAAAATGATAAATAAACCACACAGAACAGAAGTAAATATGACCTGCTAAATAATCCAACTGTGCAAATCAAAAACAGAGAGCACAGCTCTGTGAAGCACATCCCGCTGAGGGCGAGAGAAAGCGAGAGACAGACTGGTAAGATTAAAGGCTTTTATTTAGCTGCAGAAACAGGGAGGAACATGTACAGTCGGAGTAAACTGCTGCTCATAACTGCATCCAAAAGTGCCATAAAAGAGCATCCAATCAGTGTCATGGAAAAAACAAGCAAACATAAAACACTATTAAAGCGCACAAAAAACATATACACATTAACACAGATGAATGCTGGGAAAGAGGCAATTCGAGATCACATTTCAGAGAGGAGAAATCTTGCACACACACACACACAGGCTTCATATCAAAGACTTGCTTTCCAGCACATTGCACTGTGAAAACAGCTGCCAAATGACAGAGAAGAAAAGAGGGAGGAAAAGAGAGCGAGATAGTGAGAACGAGTGCAAAAGGCAACAGAGAGGAAAAGAAGAAAGAGAAAACCCACAGCACTATGGGTTTCCATCAACATCTGTATAAACAATCTGTGTGCATACTAGAAGCTTTGAGACGCACTTATTAGTTGGTCACAGTTTGCACTTCCTTCAACACACATACACGTTTACCTTGCTATCTGATTTACCTTTCTTTTTTTCCCCCATGTACTCTTAAAGTAACACTATGTAGTTTTTCAACCTTCATAATATATTTCCAAGACCCTTGTGATGGTACATCGACTTACAATAGGTTAAATGACACTTCTGCCATAGCCTGACGTGGTCTGTATCGCTTTTACTTGCACTATGTAACTTCGGGTATCGGGTAGTAACCGGAGCACAAAAAGAACTACAAAATTCGACTGCTTTACGGCATACATCACTTCACCCACCACTTCCTCAAATTGTCTGTGGCCATTGTTGATTCCAAAGCCGGTGCTGGATAAACAGTCAGTGTGCGCGTGCGACAGTAGGCTGCGGTAGGCTAAATTATTTACGACAGCATGCATGGACAATTCTGCTTCCAACCTGTAGGGCGACCGCAGAGGAAAAGTTCCTTGGTGTTGCTTTAAGTTTGCCAATAGGGTTACAGCTTATTGCCATAGAAGTACCTAACTCTAAATCTAGATATCTAAATCTAAGTATCTAAACCTGGATCTGAGTTCTGAATATGGAGAGGGGTTTATAAAAATGCCCCAAAAGAAAAGGAAAATCACAAATGAGATCTCTTTAATAAGCCAATTGTCTCTCTTAGACAGCAATGAGATTAACTGGAGAATAACTGGAGACTTTTGCTTAAGTCTTCTGCTGCTTTGAGAAGAAGACCCAAGTAATCCCAAATGTGGTTTCTCATGTTTTAGATGAGATTTCATCAGTTACTAAAAAGATTTACCAAAATAATAATTTCTGCAATCAAAAGTCAGAGATTTCAATATCACATCTCAAACATTTCTCATTAAAGTCTCCCAGAATAGCTATGCTATTCACATACATTTTATAACTAGGTAGGCTAATACTTCACTATAAGATATCATTCATTAACATTCGATAATGCTTTATGAAATGAAGTTCCAAACGTAGGTTCGGGAGGAGCCTAAACATTCAGTCATCATTACGAGCTATAAGCAGCAGACTGTAACGGTCACCAGCTGGAGTGCCCTTGAGAGCCACCAGAGGGCACTCCACATCAGACTATTGTCATTCCCTCATAAACTACATTTCCCATAACTCACTGCCCGGTCTCATCATCCCTGATTGCATCCACCTGTGTCTCAGTACCTTGTCAGTCTCAGCCTATTAAAACTATGTACACATTCATTCCCTGCGAAGTCTTGTTTAGTGTCACACTGCAATTCCAAGCATTCTCCCTGGTTTCATGTCTCTTGGTTTTTGGATTTCTTGCCTGTTCCGTGGATTACTCTTTTGCCCTTGTTCCCTACCTTGTTGTGTTTGTTTGTATGGACTGCCTGCCTGTGTTTGACCCTGCCTGTACTTTGGATTACCCTGTTCAACAAATACTGCATTTGGATCCACAACCTTTGTGTCTCAGAGCAGTTCGTGACACAGACACTGCGTCATCCCATTGAGAAATACTCCTCCTCCCCGCCTCCTCCTCTAATTCTTTCTTTCCTCCTATAGGGGGGTTTTAAACTCGGAGTTTGAGCCGAGCCTCAGGTTCTAGCGTCCTCTAAGGACAGCAAACCAAGTTAGTTTACAATTAACCTTTAAAACTCAAATGGCAGGTGAACTAGTGAAATATATACATTACATTAATACATTTGACAGCCGCTTTTATATGAAGCTATTTAAATTATTAATTGTATTGTATTGTATTGTATTGTATTGTATTATTCTGCACATTTTATCAGTTCATGCATTCCCTGAGAATCAAACCCACTGACGTCACTATCGCTTCTTTACTGTTCGAGCAGGACTGATATCGACTAACAATGAGCAACACATTTCTTCAGCATTTATTAATCTTTGTTCAAGTTATAGTCAATAGAAACACAATTGTTCATTGTTTTTTCATATAAGTTCAAAGTGCATTAATTAATATTAACAGATACGACCTTCAATATCAATTAATTCAGAAGTATTGTTTATTGTTAGTTCATTTTAACATAGGTAACTAATGTTAACAAATGGAACCATACAGTAAAGTCAAGTGTTATCCGTAACTCTTTAAACTCTTACTCTCTAATCAACAATTGTCTCATTTGGGTCTGTTTTTACTTCTATTTTAGGAAACACATCTGATACAAAGTTGATGAATGAAACAGGCTATCACTGAAGTCTCATGAGACCCCAAAAGGCCTGGTTGAGATGCCTTAGCACATTGTGCTTTTCGGAAGGAGGGGCTTCATAGAGACCGGAACTAAACAGGGCTGTGTTTACCAAAAGCATAGCAAGCCTAAGTTGATCGTAGAGACTATTGGTGGCAAATGTTCTACGATCAACTTAAGCTTACGATGCTTTTGGGGAATGCAGCCCAGAGCGTTACTGACAGACTGGGAAGAGAGGTGCTGCTGCAACAATCTAAAATATGTGAAAAATAATGTATATTTTGAATTGGAACATTCAAGCATGATAACCTATTCAAGCAGACCCCCAAAACAAAATCAAGACTTTGTAAAAGGGCATAATAGGTCATCTTGAAACTAATTATAATGACTACAAGAAATGTTGTTGTAGGAAAGTTTCAGAAATTTGTCCCCAATAGTACAGCTACAGTAGGTCAGAAATGCACATACAGCACTTCAGCTAATAGTCCATTTCTTCTGTGCCGCCGCTGATCAAAGAAAATGCTGACATACGTCAAACACAGCTGAGAAGAAGGCTGCTCTGATACTGCTTATATGAAGAGTGACAAGTAAGCATAGATTATATCATTCCCTAATAACCACCACAAGATTAAACATGATGAAACACCATAAATCAATGCTGTCACGCCACACAAACACACAGCTAAAGGTTATGTGAGAATATGATGAGGAATATTCCTGACTGACTTTGTTGGGACAAATGTGGAGGAATACTGTTTACATAAAACATACCAGCAAGGAAACGTTTACCTAAAATAATAATAATACTGATAAAAATAATAATCCCACAAGGCCACAACATATTGTTAATGTTGTTTATGTTTTTAGTTGGTTTTTTTTACATTAAGAACATTTTGCCTTGTTTATACAAACGTTCTGGAAACCGTACGCAGAATGTTATAGTCCATGAGTCATATGGAAACTGAATTCATTCATTGTAACTGAATAAAAAATAGCAACCAGCAAGTTCTTTACAACAATAATTTATGCCATAAGACAATCATTTAAATAATAATGACATCATTTTCATAAGTAAATAATGGCATCATTTTCATTATTGGGTGAACTATCCCTTTAAGTGTATGAGAAATGTTTAAGATCTAGGGCAAGAAAGCATTGCAGAAGAAAAAAGGCATGTAGCCTGGCTCAGGAACACACACGGAGGAGCATTCTTGTCCCTCTCGTTGTGTGAGAGCCAAAGGCACAGCACAAGAGCTGAAAAGAGCCCCAAACTCATTTCCTGTTCCAGCAGCAGACAGGAATTGGGGGAGGGAGATTGGGGGCGTCACTAAAAACCAGTCCATCCTCCTCAAACATGATTGCCAATGCCAAACATCTGGAGTGGTCTCTCTCTCTCTCTCTTTCTCTCTTTCTCTCTCTCTCTCTCTCTCTCTCTCTCTCTCTCTCTCTCTCTCTCTCTCTCTCTCTCTCTCTCTCTCTCTCTCTCTCTCTCTCTCTCTCTCTCTCTCTCTCTCTCTCTCTCTCTCTCTCTCTCTCACACACACACACACACACACACACAGAAAAAGCATGAAGACATACAACTAGTACAGCCCTGCACCACTTTGGATAATGTTTCACTGATGTCATTATGGGGATGGTGACATTCCACAGCTCTGGTTCAGTGATGCCATAATCTTTGTGTGTATCTCATAGGTGTGGGAACTGACTGGCTCAAGCTAAAGCAGGGCTCAACATTTGTTTCGGCTGGTTTGGACAACATTTTTATTAGCCACCATAAGAAAATTAATTATTTTAGTAACATAATATACATCCACTAAAATTATATATAATATTTTATTTTAGTGATATTTAAAGCAGTGGAACAACAACATTTAATACATCTCATAAAACCAGATTTTAAAATTCTACTATCAATTTGGGTGGGTGGGGATTGAACTCTGGCAGCAGAAGTGAAGTGTACTGGGCTGGGCTGAGTGTTGACTTGGCCACCATACTCTTTTTGGAGTATTCACTAAACGGAAAACTCCTAACGGTTTTAGGAGTTTTCACTAAAACCGTATGGCATA